TATAGCTTGATACGTTCTTACTTCAATAACTCTAGCACAGGTCGTGTGGCTGTACATATAATAATATACACTGTCGTTGTTAGTTTGTACTATTCGAAGTAACCGTTTTATGCGTTAAGCAGACATACCGAATGAGCAAGTCTGTCCGTTTATAGCAGTTGTGTTATAAATATGATGCAGAATATAAATGTAAATAAATAATTGTAGAAAATTATTTTACACATAAATATTAGTTCAAACATTGAGCTATTACCGTGTCTAAATGAATAAATGTATGAATTTCAAGTACGTGTTAACGGTAAATTACAATATACCTATCTTACCGTATAAATATATTATGTATGTAAAAGCATATTTAAAAAAATTTATATCGCCAATAATTTTGGCTAATGGTCATAAATAGATTATTTTTAAATTTCAATAATAATAATTATTGTTCTTTCACTTATTGGCTTAATAACCATAAAAAAAATAGCACAAAATATTACCGTTTAAGATGATTAGGTACTAACTTTATGAATAGGAAAGTATTTTTGACCGCAATTTTGATAAACCTTGTAGATGTGTAAGTATTAACAATAATATTATGGGGTTCATCATAGTCACGTACACACTTAATATAACTACAATGTACTACGGTGTACAGTGTACACCGTACCTATTGGCACTTTTATTTTATAAAAAAACAAATAGGTTACTTCCGATGTATAATGTCGCGCATATTATTATTTTATTATAGGACACCTACAAAATAATATGACAACTGAGGCATCTGTTTCCGATACCGGTATGAGATCGGTGGGACATCTGGAATAAAATATATATGTATGTTCTATTGGTAAAAAATGTGGGGACGAGGCGGCAGATGATGATTAATTTAGTATAACCCTTTTTTTTTCTCTCCTATCGTCGATACGCGCAATGTATCGATGGGTTCATGCAGATGTTGCGCTGCCGTCAGGGTCCCTCTTAAACGCACAAGGTGTTGTACGACCAGGTAGTGTTACTTCCGCATTCGTGTATAGCATTGTGCCCGGGGAACGTGCCATGGCTGTTTTGCATTGTCTGAATATTATAATATTACCCGGGATCCCGTTGTCGCCGTCGATAATCTATGTAGGAAACGATAGTAGCACGACCCCGATAAAGGTATTCCGATTATTATTATATTATATAATATATTTGCCCCCTGTATAGCCGCGGTATTAATTCATTCATACCGTTCAAAAGGATAGAAAAAAAAAAAATACTCACAAAGGGGAGTTTCCGCTGTACGATATTCAAATATGATGCGTGTGTAAAATTATCATACAACAATGTACTTAAATACTTTAAATCTCTGCATACGACCAAGCTGGATAAATATTATTAATTTATTATTATTTTTTTTTAAAACCGTTATGTGATTTATTTAATTTTTTTTTTGGTACGTGTAATTTTCCTCGCAAACGATTTAGCAAATTCGGATATAGTAATAATATACATAACAATCAGAGTTACACTATTCAGAATAGATATGCCACCTAAGTTTACTAAAAATTAAAAATGACTTACTGACAGGGTTCTTTTATTATTCTCGGATATAAATATTACTTAATTCTCCGACTTTGATCATTTTTTTATTATACATTTATTATATTATATTACTTCGTATAGTTCATCTGTACTACTTTTGTTATAATATTTTAAAGATATTAGGGTGATCATATTTAGAGCAAGCTACCTGTTAGGCCCTGACTTGATTAGATTATTAAAATATGTTTTATATGCTAATAGGATTACATTGTTTTGATTACATATAAATCGAAAAAGCCTTGGTAATCGAATGAGTGAAAAAAATATTCGAACTTATTATTATAATAATAATAATCAAATTCTCATCTAAATCATTTATAGACAGGTACTTAATAGGTAGCCAGAAAAAATGTCGACTACCTAGGATGGTCCGACTTCAATTGTGTAAAGACATACGAGTTTTTTGGAAACTTTACTAGGTTATGTAGAAAACAGATTTTTGATTTTTTGTTTTTATTATATAAAAAAATTAGGTTTTAATATTGAAAAAATTGCAAATGAAAATAGGCTTTCTACACGACACAATAAAGTAGCCAAAAAACTCGAATCTTAATACAGAATTGAAAATGGACCATCCTATATAGTCGACATTTTGTTTAGCTTTTCTGTCTAAAATGAACCGAACTGGCTTTTACTCATAGAAAACATTATTTTCATTAAAAATAATCTCTTGACGCTTATACGCAAATTAACCGGTAAATTAATTGACCTAGTCGAAATTTATTAAAACCACTTTTTTCTTAAATATTGCCTATACACTCTTTTAAAACAGACCGCATGCACAATCCCTTTAACAATATAACGTACATTAATCGCCGTAACAACGTTGGTAAAACGTACTTACTTAACTTGTTATATATATATAGACATATATACTACACGCATATGCATTTTATCCCTATACATTATCCGGTGGCTATCGCTTTTTCACGTTGCAGATAAACGAAAGATCAGTAGATAAAACCTCTAGGGACTCGTAGGGAGAAAATTACATTCTAGCCCCTCTTTAGCCAGCCGTCTTGTATTGCGCGCCACGTGACTAGTTTTTGTAAAACGACGTTACTACTCCAATACTATTTTGGACCTAATAAGAAAAGTTCAACGCAATACTTTTTTTCGGTCCACCCGATTATATAATAGGTTTTGTGATTGCTTAGGTTAGGTCCCGGGTTTACAACGAGGAAGTAATACGAAAGCGGTTTCCCTCCCGGATTCTCGGTTTAATAAATACACAAAAGGTCCCGGGCTTACAGGTCTTCCAGGGAGAGCGATTTTTTAATTTTTCACACTCGAAAAGTATTATTTGTTTTCTTATATATATATTAACACCCGCAAGGAGTAATAGTATGTTCAGCGAAACAAATTTAGTAAGTAGGAATAGAAAACAAAAAAAATTGTTATTATACTTCCTTATTTTATTGACTCGACATTTTTATACTAAATTGTAAATTAAATGATCTTTATTCGTATGTTTCGATATTTTAATTTGTAATTATTTAGCAAAGTGGAGTTATTCTAAATAATAAGAACTATGTTTGAACGATAGATAAATAGTTAAAAAAAAAAAATTCTACAGTTAACACTCTTTTATTGAACAAAATGAAGTAATCCTAATTGAAGCCTTTATTTTATTATTTAGATTTGTTTTATATGCAAAACAACAAAAAAATTATGAAGTAAATAGTAGGTAATAAATAAAGTATTAGATAAGTGAGTACAAAATACTTTTTATTCGGATGTATTATATTGTAATTATGGTAAAACACAATTGGTTATAGTACTTTTTGAAATTTTGAAAAATTATATTTTTGCAATAATTATAACTTTTGTGCTGCAATACAAATTTAAAAGGACAACATTCTATCTAAGAAGTAGAAATTGTGTACTGATTTTGACCGATGAATATAACTTTTATCTTCCGTAACAGTTTTTTGGTTTTTAAAAATCAGCCTGTTTGTTGTAAATCCATTTGCACATTATACCTGCGACCAAAAAATAATTATAATTTATACACTACAGAGTACAGTATAACACGTCAGGTTTACGGGCATCTACGTTTTATCCAACTAACTAATTTAAAAAGTACCAAGAATTAATATAATACTAGTATATAGTTATTTAATTTTCATAAAACCCTCCAAAATGTAATAAAACTAAGTAATTTTAGTTGCATACTCAGTATATGGTAGGCGCAACGTTAACATAATATTATTTGTATGTTTTACTTTTATCGAAAACATAATTTTTTTTAGAACTCGAAAGTACGTTTAATATTTATTAGATACTTAAATTGTTTTATGGGTTTCGCAGTGTTAAAGGAATATTTAAGTTTTACTCAACGCCGTGCCGGTGTGTAAAGAGTATAGTAGCTCTCAATGATTTATTCGCTAGATGGCAGCAGTATTGGCATTGGAGAAAAAATAAGAATGTTGAATATAACTATAATTAATAACATAATACATAGTTCTTACATTGTACGCCGAAGATTTAAGTTTATACACTACTTTTTTTAATGCTAATAAATGTAGAACTATTTTGTTTATAACCGATATTTGACAGCTTTTTTAAAATTAAATGAATGTATTGTTCTTGATTATTAATTTACTAAAATTTAGGTATGTTTATTGTTTACTATAATTTTTAAAGAGTAACTTTAAACTTCATTAAGTTGAAATTGTTTTGTGACTAACTAAAGTTAACTAGTTAAAAAAAAATTGAATAGCCTTTTATACATTACATAAGACGTCGCCTTCCGCAAGAGAGCAGTGTTTGGAAAAATTGTTAAAATAAAAGCAAACGACCTAACTAACTTTGTTTTTCTTGCATTTATTTTAGAATCTCAATTTTACTTTCACGCGAAGTCAATTTACGAAAAGCAAAGCTTAAAACATTTATAAAACTTTTTAAAAAAAGTTCAAATTAAACAGTTATTTAATAACTTTTCTATAAAACTTCAAAATAATAAAGCTTTTGAAATAAGAGTGAAATTATTGCAAAACATGTGTAAACAAACAATTTTTGTTGTAAAACCGTACAATAATATATAGAATAATGAGTAATACAAGTGGAAGTTTAGTATTTGAATAAAACACAACACAGATAAATGAACTGATAACACGCTACTATTGATAAACAAATATATATAGTAATTACAATAATATATTATATTATTACATAGAGTATGACATAAACACTAGTATAACGTGTAAACTGAACAGATGCAATGAGGCCAAGAGCCCTTAGCTAAAATTCTATTTATATTAACCAGTTTAAAATATGGCGCGCAAACATTGTAAGCAAACCGGCGTATATTTCTAGAGCGTCTTTGGAAGCGAGCGATAACCTCACCACCACGGCCAACATTTTTCGACCGGCGCGTCCGTCTCGACAATAATGACAATGCCAACGATAATCGTTGCTAACATCATATCCATAGCCGCCAACTACAACAAAACTTGTAAAAAATAATATATACTCCAATAAATACATCAAATAATAATCGTCTTAGTAATTTTAATTTTTATAATTTAAATTATTCTCGCGGTACGGTTTTAACTGTTTTTTTTTTTTACATCTGCCGGACAAATGTAAATATGTTTGTTAACGAGACTGCTTAGCTCGTTGTGTTATTAATGTTTTGCTCGTTTTTGTGTTGTTGGAAACCTTGAAGTTTGCAATGGTGAGTATTCATGACGTTGTATACAATACTATAATACATTATTACTTGTTTTAAACTTATCGCCGTGTTTGTCTAGGATTCTCCAAGTACTAGGGCGACTTCGATGGTACCGCCACCAGCGTATCCACCTCCAGCCCAAATGGGCTTTACACCCGGTGCTATACCTCCAGGTTTTTTAGCGGCAGCACCGATGGGTATTGGTCCACCAGGAATCCCTCCTCCGTTCATGCCTCCGTATAATATGAGTATGCCCGGTAAGTGTACTTGATGCCTTTATTTTAATGTTTTTGTACGCCAGTCCAGTCGAGTAAAAGTCCACTTTATCGTATTTACATTGATTGGCGTTAAATATAGCGTAGTCAAAAGACATTTAACCAACCGTTACTTTTAGGCTAAACTTTTTCTTGTGTAAAGCGTCTTGATTGTTACATTTTTTTTTTTATTTTAGGTGAAATTGTTGGTGCTCCAGTTACGTTTGCAAATGCAGTTCCACAATCAAAAAAGTATGTAGATTACGGTTATCTTGATAATGATTATAGAAATATCTAACAATCTCTACGAGCTATTTTATTGTACATTTTATGTGTATTATATGACCTATTTATAATATATTTTTCATCAAAGTAATCAATAAAATAGCTACTATTTTTTGAATTTTCAATTTTGTAAACATATTTTATTAATTTACTGAATCAAATAAATTGTAATGTGCAATTGAAGATTTATACAAAAATAATTTGTATATGCCGTAAGCTGTTTATTACACATGTATTTTATAAAAACCTCATTTCAAAATAAATCTGAGGTGGTTTTGCTCGTTAGGCAATTTGATTAAGTTTGATGAGATTAGATTTTCATCATTTCTAACTTTATCAAAGTAATTTATAATGTTAGTGGCATTCATTTTTCGTTAACATTTATTGTTTTTAGTGTTTTTAATTTTCAGAAGAAAAATGGATGAAAATTTTAAATTGTTTATCTTATGCTGTGTTGTAGTCATTGGGTGTATGCTGTGTGTATCCACTCTTCTATGCATGCATGTGCTCTTAATGAAAATCCTGTATCCGCGGATTAGAAGTACACGTTTTTTGCACGAGTACATGCATGCACAGAAAAGTGCTAGGTGAGCACACGCAGCGTATATCTTTACGACTACACCACCGATGTTATGTATGTAGTATTATTATTGAATTCTAATTTTCATTACAGTAGAAATAATATTTAGTCATATAATCTTTGAAAAACATTTCCTAACATTATATAAAATGTAATAACCGTAATAGAAATACCTCAATATCATTTTTAGTTGGGTGATTGAGGTTATTTATTTCGTTTTACATGTGCATGTTTGTTGGTAATAGGCCCTTAACACTTAAGACTTAAAATTTGATAAACTTTGATATTAGGCCACTCACGATTCCTATTGATTTTGCTGAATGTCGGTACTACAGTATCTATGATTGGTGGTGATACCCAAGAGAATAGGGAGACTGCGATTGGTAAGAGTTATCACACTATTGAACCATAAAATTCATTGTTAAAATTACTAAAGTAAACATTTTCTAAGTTATACTTAATAAATAAATTAGTAATAGAATAAGTAGTATTATTTTATATACGTATATAAAACAAATCAAACTATTGTTGAGCTGAATGCTGCTATAATAGATGTGGGTAAGTTATGTTGCATAATATGTAACGATGAAGTTAAGGACAGTCAAGAAAGCGTAATTTCATGTAATTTTTTTTCTTTGTACCTTTAATTTGTGTTAAGTGTTATATAAAGTTTATTTAAACAAGTTACAATTTATTTTGCTTTCTTTCTGTTTGTTAATTTTAATGATCATTTATTACCTATTATTAAACTCTCATTTCACAGGAAAAATTATTGTAATCAATTTCGTTATATTAACATATGTATGCGATTTTGTTTAGTGATGAAACTAAACCTGCAAGTGATTGGACAGAACATAAGGCTCCCGATGGCCGATCTTACTATTATAATTCGGTTACTAAACAGAGTTCTTGGGAAAAACCAGATGAGCTTAAGTCTAAAACTGAGGTATAGTATTTAGGCCTGTAGTATTTTTTTTACTTACCTATAATTAATATGTATATATTTATATATATTTTTTTTTTATAGGTTCTCTTAGATCAGTGCCCATGGAAAGAGTATAAGTCAGATACTGGTGCTATTTACTACCACAACCTTAATACGTCAGAATCTAGTTGGACAATACCTGCTGAACTCGATGAGTTGAAAAAAAAAATTGCTGCTGAACAAGGAATTAGGTAATAAACATAGTATTTTTAAATGTAATATATTGAGTTCAAATTGTCAGAGTTGTTACTAACGATACTATTACACAAAAAAAAAAAAAAAGTAACCAAAAACTACATCAAAGTGTACTTAAAATTTTCAGTCAAGCTCCTCTGATACAACAGCCAATAGAAATTCCATTGGAAAGAGGATCCGATAATTTAGGTAAGGATTAATCGGTTTTAATTATATTATTATAAATTATAATAATTTATCAATTTGTGGTTGTACAGATGCTGGATCAGCGATGGATCAAGCAATGGCGGCTACTTTAGCGTCCATAGCTGTTCCGGATGAAGGGAGACCTGTAAATAATATTTCCAGTAAAGGATCGAAATCTAAACACCAAGTGCCTGAAGTTCCAATATTAAAAAGTAAACAAGAACTTATAGAAGCATTTAAAGATCTTTTAAAAAGAAAAGTATGATTCTACTATTAATATTATTACTATCATATATATTGGCGACACTTACTATAATTATCAAACAAATTTGTTGTAATAATTTAAATTATTTATCTAAGAATATTCCAAGTAATGCATCGTGGGACCAAACGGTGAAAATAATCAGTCGCGATCCTCTTTATCCTCAAGTGAAAAAACTCAATGAAAAAAGACAACTTTTTAATGCATATAAGACTCAAAAACAAAAGGACGAAAAGGACGAGCATCGGCTAAAAGCTAAGAAGGCCAAAGAAGATTTGGAAAAGTTTCTAATGAAAAATGAAGATGTTACGTCCAAGACTAAATACTATAGGTTAGAAGAAAAATATGAACATTTAGATGTAAGTATTGTTTTTGTACCGTGAATAAGTTTATTCGAATAACTTGTTTTAGTTAATTTCAGGTACTAAACTTACCAAGTATAAAGTGTTTAAAATAATTGTATTTATTTTAATAACATTGTAATAATTATAATTGTGTGTGGTGCAGTCCTGTATGGTGTCAAACTTTTTACTAAAAGTATCTGGTTTGATTACCGCATTCTGCAAAGTGGAGATTAACCGTCACCCCCTTACGAGCTCTGCTTATTTATGGAGTTGTTGAACAGTAAACATATCAATCCATGGGCATGCTTGACCCTCTGGCGCGCTAATTTTATTAATATAAGAAAAAAAGATAACGGCACTTAGTGCAGCTATGTGCCTGCCAGATGGGTTAAGAGTGATCATACAAATAGATTTATTTATTTTATTTCAACGGGTATAAACCCTACAAATTAATATAGCTCTCATAATATGTAAATATTTATATTTGTATGGAAAAACAATATACTTATAAACAGATTTGGCTATTGCATACAAAATCGATTTGCATCAGTAACTTATATACATTTTTTAATTTAGATATGGAGAAATGTTTCTGAAATAGATCGTCGAGATGTATATGACGATGTTATGTTCAACTTGGCTAAAAGAGAAAAGGAAGAATCCAAAATTCAGAAAAAGCGTAACATGAAACAATTAGCGGCGGTTTTAGACTCGATGACTATAGTAGACCATACGACTACTTTGCATCAAGTACAAGAAATGTTGCTCCTCAATCAAACTTTTGTAAATGATCCTCATTTGTTAGGTTGGTTAAAAAGATTATTTATTTTACAAAAACTACAATAGATGTAGGTACTAAATCGAATCGAATGAACAAATTTCTATAATTTGTATAGCAATGGAAAAAGAAGATGCACTCACTGTATTCCAAGATCACATTCGAGAATTAGAGAAGGAAGAAGAACACGATAAAGAAAGAGAAAGGCGACGAAGAAAACAACAGGAACGAAAAAATCGCGATAATTTTGGAGTATGCCATTTTTTTAATAAAACTAACTAATAATAATTACTTTTGTAACTTAGACTTATGATGATATATTAGATGTTTTTGGAGGAACTTCACCAACAAGGAAAATTAACATCAATGTCTTTGTGGAAAGAACTCTATCCAATTATAAGCACTGATATAAGATTTTCAGCCCTTCTCGGTCAGCCAGGTACATATACATTCATAAACTTGTTTAATATAATTGAAGATGTATCAATTTCTATGATAAAAAGGTTTTTAAAAATAATTACTTTACAATTTGTAGGTTCAACGGCATTGGATTTGTTTAAATTTTACGTCGAAGACCTCAAATCAAGATTCCACGAAGAGAAGAAAATCATCAAAGATATCCTTAAAGAACATTCATTTTTTGTTGATGTAATATTTTGGTTTATTCGTATTACCTAGGGATGATTTTGTACTAACTACAGTTTATTTCAATTAGATTAACACAACCTTCGAAGAATTTGCTCGAGTTGTGTGTCTGGACAAACAGTCGGAAACTTTGGATGCAGGAAATGTAAAATTGACATATCACGGATTGGTCGAAAAAGTAACGTATATATTTTGTTACCAATAAACATAAAACATGTGTTCTAAAAAACCAATTTGGTACATTTCAAGGCGGAAGCGAGGGAAAAGGAAAGATTACGAGAAGAAACTAGGAGGCAACGTAAACTAGAAACTGCTTTTCGTGCATTACTCAAAGAAATGGATGTGGATTACAAATCTGATTGGGACGAACTTCGCCCGAAAATTGAAAACGATCAAGCATTTCAAGCTATAAATTTAGAGTCTGAAAGACTTCGTATTTTTAAGGTAAGCATTAAAATGTTATAATTTTATAATACTTAAATTAAGATATAAGTGGTATATAGCATTCAAAAATATTTTTTTACTGTAAATAAGGTGCTGAGTAAAATAATGATTTAATGCTTTCAAACTTAAATTGTATTTTTATTTTACTGAAACGCCTATAGTTTATTTATTTTAGCAAATACCTACTTTAAATTATGACTAAATATAACCTAAATAGATTTTTAAATTATTAATGCAATTTCAGTGTGAAGGATAAAATGTAATTATTCCTTTAGAAAAAAAATGTGTATTAAACGCACAAAAATTGCTAAAAAAAAACTACAAAAAATCTTAAATTATAAAAATAAAAACAGATTTTGTGTAAATTAGTTTAATTGCTGTAAAATCAAGTTTTGTAAAAATCAAACAAAATGTAAATACTTCACGTTTTAACAGATACAAATTAAGCTTATATATGTTAAAAACTATTTATAAGTTTATATTTGTCGAGTAAATCTTAGAAAATAATAAATAACCTTTGAATTTTTTTTAGGAATTCCAAGTCGATACTGAAGAAGTTTGTAATCATCACCATTCTAAAATGAAAAAATCGAAAAAAAATAAGAAACACAAAAAAAAGTCTAGATCACAATCATTGGTGAGTGTTGTTAAAACTTGACTTTTCTTTTATAGATTTTTTAAATTTTATAATATTCATTATGTATTTAAAACAATTTTCAGGAATCCAGTGATTCAGATTATAAGCAAAAAAAGAAAGTCAAAGAAGATACACCTGAAATTAGTGATACTGAAAGTCGAAAACGAAAGTATAAAAAGTCAAAGAAAAAAAGATACTCGGAGAGCCCTCGAACTAGATCACGCTCTAGGGTAATTATATTAATTTACGCTTCACATATCGACATCCCTTACGAAAAGCAATATGTTTCTTTTGCTTAAAAATTTTAATAATGATTAATTTTTTTTAGTCCCAGAGTTTGAAAAAAATGGACGTGGATGAAATAAAAACCAAGAAAAATCATAAATCCTCTGAACTAAGCGATGATGATTTAGAAGCAAAAAGAAAAGCGTTGCTTGCTCAATTGCATGACGAAATGAATTAAATTAAGCATTTTTATGTACATATTGTCCTAGGTAATATGTTTTACACACCATTTGATTTATTTCTTGAATAAATTGTATTAATTAGTAATGTTGTTTAATAAGAACCATTTATTGTTTTTTTTAAATGAATGTATCTTTTTATTATGTCTATTCATATCGCTTTATCGAGTATAGAATACATATTAATTAGCATGTGAATACTATTAAACACTACTACTAGTTGTCTGCTAGTATGAAAAGTACTTGAATGACTATAATAATATCTATACAGAAATTTCATATCATTGTGTATGAACAATTCAGTAAAGATATAATAATTTGACTAAAAAAAAAAAAAGTTAAAACACTCAAAAACTATACTTGAACTATTTGATAGCAATCCATTAAATATTATAATGATAATAACTGTAGTAAATAATGAAAAAAATAAAATGGTATAAAATTCATTAAAACATTTCGTTTAAAACACTTTATTAAAGTTTTCCTCAAAGTTCACATTGTTTTATGTACCCGTATTTGTGTACTATGAAATAAAATTAGATCTCTAAACTTTTTGGGATTAGATAGCAAAATTCTTTAGTGAAACACGCTGCTGCATAAGACACTAATTTTTGTAACAACTGTGGCTGTCTTTATTTAAATTTTTATGCGTAGTTTTAGGGCTTAAAATCTAAAAATTAAAATGAAGGTAGACATGTTATAGCGTAACCCTAAAACATTCCTACTTACACACATTAAAAAAAACAATTTCATGCACACATGTTGATCAATTTAACGTAAGACACTCTATTTTTGGAAATATAAGTAATTTTGTAATTTATCAAAAAAAAAAAAATGTTTGTTAATGTTATAAATTTTATAGTTCATTGAAATAAACACTTTAGCAAATTTTTAAAGTGTTAAAAAGTTGTACGCATTTAAATGCCACTAATTTTAAATCTAGGAAATTAAAAAAGTAACTTTATTCTAAACACATTTATTTTGAACCGTTTTTACCATCTACAGTTTCACATCAAAGCGTTTATCTTTAGTTATTTTTTTTAATTTGTAAGATTAAATTAAATATACAACACTTATAGGTAGCCGTTTGAGTTCAGGCAAAAAACAAGCAGTTTTTTTTTGTTTTGCTAAAATGGAGTTAATTAAAACAAAAATATAAAACAATTGGATTTTATGCCTGCTAGGAAGTAATAGGTACAGTGGTGTATTTATTATTTATAGTCTAAGTAATGTATGAAAGGCACGAGTAAACGATTTTGGCTCTTAAACAATTTGCATTGCAATTCGCAATTGTAGGAAACATTATGAGACATTTTGTACAAACATAACATTAAAGGGACAGCGCAGAAATTGTTTTAAACGAAATATAATAATAATTTAACTGGTAATAACTTACTCATAAATTTCCATGGTTACACGAACATACCTATATAGGTTTGCGGTATATATATATCTATTTTTTTTTGAACTGCTCTATCTCAGATTATTTATATAACTTTATAATTAAAAAAAAAAATGCAGATCCATTTATCATTGTCGTGAATCTCTTCTGCTGCAAAACTGCAGCTGCACAACTGATTTAAATTCTTAGTAAAAAATACATGCAATTATAATATTATTTAAATACCGATTTTTAACATACCACGTTGTTATTAAAAATTTAACGCTACAATAAAAGTTCTAGTCATGTTTTATAAGTGGAAAATCCGAATTTCGCCAAAATTAAATTCAATAATCACTGGATAACTCACTGTCTACTACTGGTGTATTTATGAATTATGTCTAAAATCAACAAACATTGTACAATTGTTTATTGGTAAACGTGGTTAACCGGTGGCTTTGCATCCAATGTAGAACTGTTGATGTACAAGTGGTTTAAAAAGCTAATGTTTAGAACAACATGGTAAAGTTTGGAACTATAAGATTGGAACTATTGGAACTATAATATCCTTAATTAAAAATAATAGTCCTTATTAAATAGTGCCTCTTTGATCACTTTGCGGTGCGGTGTTTCGATATCTGCAATCCGCTAAAATGTGTACCTACATGATAACAATATAATTTATACTATAATGCTTGTATACAGCGTGTCATGTCATCTATTTCCACGTGTGATGTGCTTGCGGGGTTGACAGCGAGCAAACACACTATACCAGCCGTATTGGTAATATTATTGTATATAAATATATAATACTCATATACCTCCACCTATAATGCTCTTATAGTGACACGCTTAAGTGTAATGGCGTTTGCACACGCCGTATATTATGATCTGTGCTTGTAAGCCGTTGGTCTCAAGTGTATGAAACAAGTATAGTGTGCGTAATACGATATTATTATCGTCACTGTACGGCACTCGTATAGGCTCTGAGAGAATTATTCATATGCCTATTATATAATAATAATACATCTAGAGAGGACGAACGAAGAGAAAGATAGAGAGAGAGAGAGAAGTGATAATAGTATATACTCTCCACAAGTTCGGGTTAAGACCTGGCATCTCATCACGTTATAACAGTGCCGTAGCCAAGGGCGTACTAAGAGGTCGACGCATAAACCCCTCTTCCCCATGAGACGGGGGGATTTTTTTTAAATGATGTAGAATTGTTAGTAGTGTTTAAAATCGTCAAAATAAATTTAGTTTAAAAAAAAAAAATGTACTAGAGATAAAACGTATTTTTTCAGAATAATCGGAGAAAGTTATTGTAACTCTAAATATAAAAAAAAAAAATTATAAAAACTGAAAACTTATATAGTATCAACAATTTTATAACTAACTAAAAAAAATACATTAAAAAACTAGCAAATCCAGGAAAAATTTGTTTTTTTTCTGATAAAATTGACCAAATTATGTTTACAGTGTAAATAAGCATGTATTCGTTCTCACTTCTTAGATAAACGAGAAAACACTTCATCACATCAGGCCACTACCAATTATATGTTTAAGCTTTCAGTCAAATTAAAATGAGGTTTTTATGATTTTTCAAACATTTTCAACAAAACTTGAATAATATACATTTATGAATTATCAAATTTTTCATTTTTATGTGACTCGGGAAGGTTAAAAAAAAAACCCAGTTTGTTCTTGGTGCAAAACCACAAATCTACTACAAAACACTATATTTTATATAATCTAAATAATATATATTATTTAAAGGAGAATCCAGAAGACTTTTTAACTTACCTAATTATCTTTCCAAATGACAGTTACGTTTGAAATTTAACTTTACTCATTTCAATATAAAAAGTTTAAACTAAGTAAAAAAGTCCCGAAAACAAAAATAAGTGGTTTTCCCGTCGAAAAATAATATTTTTCTCGAGTTTCTTAAATTGATTTCATGGCGTGTTCTATAAAGAAGCACTGTGACTAACTATAATTTTTTAAATGGTTATTGTTTGTATAAAATATTATGGAAACTTATAACTAAATTTATTTTTTTCAAAGTTGGATTTACTATTTTTTAAATTTGCTATACGTTAAAAAAAAAATAACTTTCCTTATTCTTGGTCGAGATATTAATAGAGGTAAGACTTAGATATTGAGCCCCCTGCCCCTCCCCCACCAATAACAAATCCGGGCTACACAGACTCTTCAGTGTTTTGATCGTTGAGAAATACTTGAAAAAATCCGTTAGATCTGTTTTTCTACGCTTGGTTTATTGAAAACTCAATCTCCGTTATGTGCAATATATACTATACAGCTGATAGCTGATAACGATGGGTATTTTAAAAACAATATTGCGTTTGAATAACATTTTGTAGCAAATCGAAACAATATAGTATTATTTTATACGAAATCGACGACACGTCCAATGTATAAAAACAGATTTTGTAAAATTGCTTTTATAAAACGCATATTATGTGATTCTGAACGATTTTCCACTCCGGTAGAGAACCGAGTAAGAGTAAGTTTAGGTACTCGCGTTTATCCTGACCGTCCGGCATATCTACTGCAGTACTTGCCCTGTGTTGTTTGCTTGGCAAGTAGCATATTATTAAGAGTTCCGAGTTTGCTTGCGTGTGTATACAACTGATGTGTAGGTGTGTAGAGGTACTCGGCGCGCGAAGACTGTAAAATCCGGCGATTTATCGTCCGACCTTTTTTACGGCCAGGTTGGCCGTGGGGTGGAAAACCACGATAAAATAGCTATAATATATAGTAGTGTGTGTTCGGGTAGGTAGTCGCTCAAAAACAAGGGGGAGGGGCCGTTGGCGAATAGAAGGTCTCTGTGGGGTTAAGGTACGTAGGTACGCGGCGCGAGCAGTATCCGAACAATAATTACTTACTCTCCGAACCAGGACGAAACAAGAAGGTACTTAAGAAACAAAAACGGCCGAGTTATCGAAAATTTACAATGATGATATCTCTCCGCCGAAAACTTGTTTGGTAAGTATATTATTCTTCATATATTCTAACGCGGCCGTGTATGAGGGTAGCGTGTTTACAAATAAAAATGTAGATTGTTAACCACGTTGTTTAAGTTGGGCGACGCGTTAAATTTACTAACAAACACCGGATATCCATTGATAACGTGATGGAATAAAAAGTCACTCCATCCATCAAGCTTAGCGGGCCTTTTAAGGCCCAATGCTGCCATCAAGATGGTTTCTTGACGAATTCGCTTCCGGGACGGGTCGTCAATCCGTCGCCGGAGAGGGGGATGGCGGTTCCTTTTTACCGGACGATTGCTCGCCCAGCAAACGGAGTGCCTGTGACCGGGTGTCGAACCGGCGACAGTGAGCGCTAACACACTGCCGCCTTACCCACTCGGCCACTCCTCCTCATGTCACTCTTGATACCTAATTCAAAAGAAAAATTGTGTCTAACAGCTATTGAACTGTGCTCACTCTAATGTACTAACAGTGTTCTTGAACCACTTGGACGCTTTTGTAAATATGTGATGAAATTATGTGTATAAGTTAACTGCTTGTAAAGATTCAATGTATAAAATACAGTTTTTGTCGCCGACGATGTGGTGTCACGCGTGCTAAGCGTTTTGAAATACTTTGACACATTTTCACGTCCTGACGCTATTAACACTAGCATAATACAAGGTGCGCGTTGACAGACATTATAAAACCGACTAT